ATCTGAAAAAAACAATTCATTTGTTTAAAATATTTTTCTTTTTATGCAAGGGTGCACAAACTATAATATAGAATAACTTTATTATATGTTAAAAAATATTTTTCTTAACAGGGGTGCTCAAATTATACAACAGAAAAAAATTGCAAATAAAATAACGGCGCGAAACTATCGTAATGTCTATTTCTAACATTCTTGTTGAGCACTTGTACTTTATATGGTAAAACTAGTATACTGATTTCGTTGCAACTATACATCTTTAAGTTATCGCCAATTTAATACTTGTTCTCCCGGAAGCGCTGATAAACATGGTTTTTGCTTTCTGTGCGTAATTTCATATGTTTATGCTTGACAACAACAGTAAAAATGCACTAAAATGATCCCATACTAACCACATGAAAATTTTAATGAAAACGTTGTATTATTTTTCTTTTCAAAAATGCACAAATTATTCTACCATTTTCAAAAATAATATTTTTTAGCGCTATTTTTTAATTAAAGCCCGATTCATGACAATATTTCCATAAATTTCGTTCATTAGTACCTGCCATATTGTTGGGTGCATGGGATTCGCACAGTGTAACAATTTGCAGTGGTATGTTCAACTGCAGAAAAATGGGGTAAATATAACCTTTTTATAATTATTTTTTAGGAATTTGCATTTATTATTGTTTAACGTTGCTAAGGTAGCTTTGCAATGATATCTAGTGAGATACCATTTTCTTGATAGTAATATAATATGCGGTATGAACTACACAGTGAGAAATGAGCGCAAAGAAAACTGCTTTGTAAATAGATACGGGAGTAGGGAGCAAGCTTCAGGAGTTGCTGCATATAAGTATTTCTACCTGATTACTGTTTATTGTAGTACTTACCTGTCACAGTGTTGCATTTTTGTATAGTTTTAACTAATTTATTTTTGATTACTAAATATATTATTTTTTGTATAGTTAAATTTTGAAAATTTTGAGTTTTGTCTTGTATTGATTTTGAATTTTTAGAAAAAAAAATTTTTCAAATGCATACAACCACAACTTCATAAGAATATCTTAAATTGAAATAGTTAAGAAATGCGTTATAGTCTTATTGGATCTTTAAATGATTATATAATAATATTTGTCATACCGATAAATACTTACTATATCTTAAGTACTTAACATAACATATTATTAAAATGTATGCTTTTAATTAAATAATAATTACGTAAAAACGAAAACTAATCCTTTCTTAATGTGTACTATAGATAATCTGTTAATTGACTTAATTAAGACGTTGTCTGACGAGCTGAAAGCCTTAAATTATATTAATAGAATCAGTAGTATATTTCTGATATCTCAGGTCTTTAGAAGCAAATATACCGTATAAAATGCCTTGTACTTAATTTACTTTCTTCGTGAAGTCAAATTAGTCACAATTTACAAAATTTTTCAATTATTTCTGCATTAACTCGCTAATTGAGCCAAATTATAGCATAATTGAACGTAACTATAATTTTTATAAATATAGTACAATTAGCGACTTAATTAAGAATTATTCGAAACC